TCACAGAGTTTTTCAACCCTGGTCCCCTCTCATAGGAAACATGCTTCCTACTCTTATCCCACTTTAACCTTGGGGAGTCTTGGCCATTTGCCTCCAAAGTGGTCAGGTGTAAATAGACTCAGCTTTAGGGTGCTTCAGGCTACATCATAAAACAAGCTGTGCGACTGTGACAATATTAAATGCTAACTGGTTTAAATTACATCTGTAGAAAAACTAGTTGGGTTGACCTTGGGCAAGTTGTCTCAACAAAACCTGGGTTTGAATTCCAGCTCTGACATTTACTACTGACTCAATTACCTAACCTCTCAGAGCCTGAGTTTCCCAAATTGTAAATAATAAAAAAACAATAATGTCAAGTGATACCATGGGTATATAGTGTTAGACAAAATCGGTATAGCTATAGATCAGCGATTTTCAACCTTGTTCATCCCAGGGCACACATACACTAATTACTAAAATTCTGTGGCACACCAAAAAATATATTTTTACTGATCTGACAGAAAAATCGGTATAATTTTGATTCATGCACATCAGATGACTATTGTTGTGTTGGCTGTTGTCATTTTTTTATTTGACAGTCTAAGGGAAAAGAGGTCAGTGCCCCTGACTGAATAGTCAAGTATTGTATATTTTAAAAATTCTTGCAACACCCTGGTTGAAAATCACTGATATAGATGATGATATAGATATAAATTAGATATAGAAATATAGACATAATGTGTGGATACAGATGTATGTGTATATGTGTGTATATATATGTGTGTGTAAACATATATATGTACACATAAACATTCACTAAAACTTTTTATTTCCTAGGAATTTATAATGCCTAAAAAGATGTCAGTTTGATAAAACAATTAACTAAGCAATCAGAGATTTGGGAAATTTCAATCTTTAGTTCCTCTGATTTTAAAGCACACATTCACATAGACTATTCTAAAGGTGTGGATGCTCATGTGATAATGTTGAATAATATTAACTGAATATTTATTAAGTGCCAAGTAACGCGGTGTATACTTTCATGCACTCTTATTTACTCCCCACACAACCCTGTGCAATGATGTCATCATCACCGTTTACAGATGAGCAACTTGTCCCCAGTCACCCACTGGTAAAGAAGGCCAGGGATTTGAACCTGGATCTGCTTGACCCCGAAGGCTACCCTGCCCCATGCTGTGCTTTCTGCACTCATCTCAGGGATGCCCAGCTCTCAAGCTTGGCGTGTTTGGCAGTTTGGCATAATGACATTCATTGTTCCCCAAATCCGTATTTAAATCAAGTTTGTTTGATTATCAGACTCTTGTAGACAAATGCATCAGATTAACCTGTCATGGGTATGCACTGAATTTTAAATTTTTTTCGTAAAAGACAAACAAATTTATATTTACACATCATCTAAAAATTCCCCTAACTTCTGGTTTCCAACTCCTGCCCCTCCCTAATTTTCTGCGGTTGCAAACAAGCCACGTGCTGGTGCTAGATCCTGGTCCTTGTTGGCCCTGCCCCCACTCAGTGCTACACGCCGCGAAATGGCTGCTGCCTGGTGGACAGAGGACCCCGGACCTCAGTCATCTTCAGAGTGGATCATGGCCCCATACACATCACAGCTCCACAAAGGTGGCAGCGAGGTTGGCCTGGCACCTGAACCAAATGTGGCCAAGCCCGAGAGGAAGGCTTTGTGCCCTGCTTCCCAAGTGGACTTTCCAGGAAGGAGTCAGATGATTTGAGTTATGGAAACCAAATGGTCCTCCTTTGTTTAGAGAGAAGGGGAAAAAAAGTCACTCATTTTTGTGGTAAAGTGAAAACAGGCTCCAAACTAAACAATTCCTCTCCGAGCAGAAAATGCCAGCTCCCCAGAGCAGGCCCACAGCCTCGGAAGCTGATAAACTGATGGCAGGCTGTGTCAGGCCCCTCCTGCAGGCTCGGCAAAGTCCTCAGCCCTCCCAGCCAGGCTTTCCTCTGCTTTGCTCCAGAAATATTTGGACTCCCAGGCAGGAAAGGAAAATGAAAGGAGAGAGAAAGAGAAATGTCTACTTGACTAGGCCAATCTCATCCTTTCCCTCCTTTCTGGTTGGGACAGAGGGAAGGGACAGGAGCTGTGCAGAGAAAGCCCAGGAAGTGAGCCTGGGCACTAACACAGCACAGGGGCATGCCAGGTCCTGGAGTGTCCCCGGCATGTCACTGCAGTGCACTGACCTGGAGGCCCTCCTCGGGGTGACCCAGCTCTTCCCATGGAATGCAGCCAGGAGTCATGAGGCCTGCTGTGGCTGCTCTGTGGCTGCTCTGTGGCTGCTCTGTGGCTCTGTGAGCAGGCTCCGTGGGCAGCAATCCGCACACCCAGGTATTACTAGTACATGTACAGTAGGATAAGCCATGGCCAAAAGAAAATCAGTGTAGGTTCTAGTCAGCCACGCCTGTCCCGATTTCAGTTTATTCTCTAATACAAGCCTTTCCTGGGACGGAGGGGCTTTGAGGAGGAAAGAGTGGTGGAGAACTCAGTTCCGGCCCTGCTTTGCCTCTGACTCGCTGTGCCACCATGGGTCACTGCTGCCTCGCTGAGCCTCCGTTTTGCACCTGGAAGGTGAGCCTAATGAACCCTGTCTTAGTTCTCAAGGTCACTGTGAAGGAGATAAAGCGTGGTTCTTATCAAGAGATGGCAGGCGGACTGCCTGGATATGAATCCAAGCTTCCCTTTCAGTTATGTGATGTACACGGAGCCCTTAGAGAGTACCCACATGCAGCCTGCCCCTGTCATTATTGTCACCATAGACAAAAAGGCATCCTGAAAATAATAACACTCAGTTCAGGCGCTGGGTGATCGACCACTGTCGTCATAATTTTACTCAACATACCCTCACTATTCTGGCAACATTCCATAACCTGCCAAAGCTAATTCTAAATTGGAGGGGAACCTCCACTAGCTAGCTCCCGGTTGCCTTTAGGAAAAATCCCCAGAACCCCACCATGGCCTACAAGGCCTTGGCCGTCTGGCCCTGCTGCCTTTTCTAGTCTCATGCTGAGCCCTCATCTCACTCCAATCTAACAGCCTGTTGGCTCTCTTTTAGCTCTCCAGTGGTCTGGGCTCCTTCCTGCCCCAGGATCTCTGCAGGGCAGCCTCCCTCCCACTCCATCTCCTTTCCATCAGGCCTTCAGCTTCCACAGCCTTTCCTCAGGGAGGCCGTTCCTGACCTTCCAGATGAGAGCAGGCCCCCTCCTTCCCCTTCTTTATTATCACCATAATTATAATTACATAGTAATTTGTGTAATTACCAGCATGTCAGCTCCTTGAGTGAGGTGCTTCACTTCTTTTGTTCAGTGTGAGGCCTAGCACAGCGTCTGGCACCTGGTAGACATTCAAAAGAATTTTTTTAATAAAAATGAATGTGTTTAATAACTATCTCCCCTGTGACTCCTATAAAATCCAGAGGCCATGTTTCTCTTCTCAGAGCCTGTGTTTCTAGCACATAGTAGTCCTTCAATAAATATTTGTTGGATGGATAGATGAATGAATGAATGAATGAATGAATGAATGAATGAATGAATGAATGAATGAATGACATGGCATGGCATGGCATGGCATGGCATGGCATGACATGACATGAAATTACTTCCCTAACTTTTCATACTGATAATTTCCCTAGACATCAGGGGAATACTGTAACTAGGCATTCTCTTCCTCTTCCTTCCATGAGGACATTGTGCTTAGCACTCAGATATGTCCTTTAACTCCCATCCCAGGTGTCTCTGATCCTTAAATCCAGGCATGGAAGGCTTGGGGCTCTCTAATCTCCATGCGGGCAAGTGTTTAGTGCCAGCCACATTCAAATGTCATTAAGAAACATCAATTTCACAGCAAATGCCAACAGCAGAATATCGTCTTGCTATGGAAAGAATATACATATATTCTTTCTATCTTCTAATGTAGGTATTTGTATTAACAGCTTAATTAAAGGGACACATATTATTCATCTTTGTATCACCTACAGGTCCTATCATTGTCTTTTGTACAGAGTATGTACCCAATAAATGCTGAAGTATAGTGTGTTTGTGTGTATACTATGTTGTGTATATATACTATAATTCAACATTCACATACTCCATATAATATATGAAGGAGTGACTTCTATATACTGAGTTTAGTAACTCTTCAGCCCTGCTTCTGGCCCCAAAATCTGGAACACAGCGAAGTTCTTAACGAGTTTTTGATTAAAGCTGCTTAAGCTTTTCTCAGCTTCTTTCTCCCAAGATAAGAGCAAGAATTTCACCGCCTCCTGGGTGCCACCACTCTAATCCATCTCTCATAGCTGCTAAAACATCTCTCACAGCTAAAACTTCTAAAACTCACCCCTTTGAGTTTTTCCCCAAAAACCAGCAACATTTTTTCCCTCAGTCTAACTCAAATAACTCGGACTAAACTTCTTCCTATACTGATCTTTTCAAATCCCATTTATGTCCTACCCCGGAACCTATTTTTCATTGGTTCTGTCTTTGCCCATGCCATTCCTCCCAAGAGAAATGCTTCTTCCCCATCTCTCCCCTGAAGCACAGCTCGAGTTTTGTGTTCCCTGAGATCTTGCCTTGTCATGCACCTAAAGCGAGCTCTCTGACTTCTGAAGCCAAATGCTATTTTGGCTTAGCCACTTCTTGTGTTTGTCAGTGAACTTTTCCCATGAATATGACTTTTCTCTCAAACTAGACTTAGACCTGAAGCTACCTGAGGACCAGCCTAATATTTTCTTATTTCTCCTCAATTATGCCTGGTCTATGGTAAGAACTTGGTCTCTGTTTGCTGATGGACTCAACTGGACATACAGGATCAGAGACTAGTATTCAAGCAGGAGACCTTGAGTGGATTTTACAGCTCAAAATGAGTTTTTATTTCAAACAGTTATTACTTTTCTAGTGTCTCCCAGGACTTGGCTGATGGTCTTTAGGAATCACTGAATTTGAAGTCATAAACTTGCCTCACTCCTCTTAATCCAGTGACTTCCTTTTTACAGATGAAAAGCCCTTTGCTGTGGAAGATACGTATTTGCTGTGTCCAGCACCTGTCTTAAAAGAAGTTGGCATGTAAGTTTCCACTAGCAACTGAGCCTCGGGGAGAAGAAAGAAGGGAGAGGGGACAAAGGGAAAAGAAAACAGTGTCCCTTCATTGTCATAATGGGGCCTTTCTCTAGACTCCTCCAAGTAATGATGATGAACGATACTTACAGTGAACCAAGCACAGGGATAAATGTTTTACAAAGGGTGTCCCACTTCACCCTCCCAAGTTTCCGACAAACAAGATACTCACATCTTCCCAGTTTTACAGATGTGGATGGAATCTGTGGCTGAGAATTTAAGGAGCTTGCCCAAGGTCACACAGCAGTAAATGGAAGCATTTGGGCACCAACCAAGGTCTGTCTGGCTTAATCACAACTATGTCCCAGAAAGCTCTCACACTTCCCAAAGCACTCTCACATACATTACTTTGCCCTGTCATCATAATTGCCCTGCCAGATGATTATTACCCCTGTAGAGATAAGAAAGCTTGGAAAGGCTAAGTGGGTCCACAAATGGTTCAAGGCCCAGATTCAGACCATTGGAAGCCAAGCTCAGTGCTCCTTCCTCTGCTCCTCTGCAGAGCATACAGTGTTCACCCAAAGTGCACAAGGCTCCCTGCACTAACTTATGGGGAAAATGTCATGATGGTGCAATTATAAGTGCTAGTGAAATGTCATCAAAAATAGTCACCAGAAGAAACTAGCTACTCTGTGAACGTGTCTGTAATAGGCTGAAGATAGAATGGTGGCTTTAAGGGAAAAAATGCTAAACTCTTTCCTCTGAATTGTGCCTTTAATCATTTGTTCAAATTGTAAGCCTCCAACTCTGGTTGCCTAACATCAGTCTGTGATTCATTCATTCCACTGATTCTACAAATTAATAGTGTCCTTCCTGCAAAATGCAAGCTAAGCTCCTATTGCAGTGAGTCTCCTCTAGATAAAAGGTAGAAGGCAAATTAGTTCATCTGTTACTATGCGTCTGCGTTTTCTGGGTAGTAACAAAGCTACCCCCACCAGAATCAGATCTCTGAGAATCCAGATAAAGACAACAGAACATTAGGTTTATAGCTTGATCCATTTAGCGCCACTGATTTGGACCATTTTTAAAGAATCCTTCACCTTACTACAATGTGACAAGTAAATTAAGTGGAAGCAGGCTTTGCACATTCAGTGCAATTTGCTGCAATGCAAGAAGGGCTGAAGGCACTGCCTTGATATGCCAGCCAAGCGTATCCTGACATCTCCCTGGAATGTTAGAGGTAGGAGGGGTCCTAGAGTCCATGCTCCACATTTTACAAAGAAGACAGCTAAGGCCCTCAGGGGAAGAGACTAGTCCGAAGGGTAGTTCTGAGCAGAGCACACAGGGGACCAATGTGTCCGGTTCTTAGCCCCACGGACCCCATGGTTCCCTTGTTGTCTTTTCAGGAAAGCCGCACTCCAGGTCAGCATGAACGATGGCCTGTCTTTCATCTCCAGTTCTGTCATCATCACCACTACACATTGTGTAAGTCATCACTTTTCTTTTTACCAAAGTTTTCATTGTCATTCTCATCTCCCTGGAAAGCTGTCTGGTTTGCATTCTGTTCACTGAGCTTTCATCCTGACACTGCTGGGCCAACTATGGGCTGGGTGAGGGGCGTGCCGCGCCCTGCGGTGTATCAGGAATACCTGTGTTCGGCTTCTCCAGGTTCCCCATTCCTGTGACTGTGGGTGAGACCTGAATGCACTGGCATGACCAGTTAGCAAGGCTCTGGGCCCGTGTCTGTGCAGCAGTAAGGGGAGATGTCTGGATGAAGCGGGTTTAGGAGAAAATGCACAGAAAGAAATTGGACAGTATACACAGAAAGCACGTCGGAGGGAGTTTTTCTCTAAAGGGGAGCAGGAAAATGGGCAGTAACTGAAGAAAGATATATAAAGAGTATAAAGAGAGTCTTTTATTTAGAATGGAAGAAACCGAAGCTTGTTTGTACGGTATGGAAACAATCCAGGAGAAAATGGAAAATTGATGAAGCAGGAAAGGGGAGAAAGGGGCTCTATGCCATAGGGATTGGGAGGCAGCAGTAGGGACTGCGTACTCCTTGCCAGCTCCTCCGATGCCCCTTCTATAGATCCTGCTGTCAAGTAGTTTTGGCTTCTGGTTATACATAAAATCACCTGGAGAGCGTTTAAAAAATAGTGACACCCCGGCCTCGTGCCCGACCAATTGAAATAGTCTGGGCTGGGCCCTAGATTGGTAGTTCCAAAGCTATGGTTGAGAATACCTTGGCCTGTGTACTTGCTTCTGCCCACTGTCAGCATCTCAGGAGTTTAGCTCATCAGAGGGCAGTCAGGGCTTGATCAGCTTGTATAGAGACCCCAGCCCCTGACACGAGCATTTCCAAAATACCTTTTGTTTGAATATTCAGATTCTGCAGCCAAATGCACTTTTTCCTTTAGATCATTCTAGAGACAAATGTGTTTGACCTGATGGTCAGCTTAGGCAGATGCTATGATCAATTCCTGGCCGGCCTTTGGAGGACATGTTGTTAGAACCCCTCAGGAATTGGGGTTTGTGTCCTTAACACCATCACAGCTGGAGGAGAGAGGGCAGGCAGCACTGAAACCAGGCAAAATAAATGAGCAGGAAGTCAGGCCTCTTGACAGACAACACTCCCTCCCACCTCCGGCCTTTCCAACCCTCCCACACACTTTTCATCCTGTGTTAAGAGCAAACCAGTTTTCTTGAAAGCAGTGTCATCCAGTGCAATGGATACAGACTACAGGGAAGTTTTATTTGACCATAGCAATTAGGTTTATCACAAAGAAGTGTCTGAGAAATGTCTGCATCTCAAGGATCTGTCAGTGGGACATCAAATCTGGAGACCAAATACGAAAACTGTGTGCACAAGCAGTGAAATTTCTTCAAATGTACCCTGTCTGGTTCCTTTAGAAATTGACCCTTTGGAACCTGCCAACCTTCAGGAAATTATTAAAATACCCCAAATCTAACAACTTCATTCCAGATTCCTCCCTGCTCTGAATGATCCAACAATTTGGGCCTGTATTTCTCATTTTGTTTGATCATACCAGAGAAACAGCCATGACCTTGAGGCCTCGAGGGCAGGGAAATGAGAAGGGGAAATACCTCAGAACCAAACCTGTGTTATGGCAGAAACAGGACTAAAAATTTAAGTCCTGAGCCTATAAGCCAAGAAGAAAGTACTGCAAAATGTGCTGCAAAACTGCTAATGTACTACTAATTAACACTAATTACTAATGTACTGCAAAATGAAAAAAACTCTGAGTAAAGTCCCTCTGCCATTTTCCCAACTCACTCCAGCCTACATTTACACCTTACATCTTCATCTAAGTGCATGTCTTAAGTTTTCTGGAAAACTGACCCTGGATCAACACCACCTCATAACATCTTCTGCATTATTCCCCTTTGCATTTGAGAATGCTGTATGTCTACAACAAAGTTACAACCACCCTAAGATTTGAGATACAGGTCCATTTATTCATTTATTCAACAAATATTCATTGATCATGCACAATGTGCTGGGCACTGTCCTGGGTGCTTGGGATACATCAGAGAACACAACAGACAGAAATCTCTGTCTAGTAGAGAGGGGGAGGAGAAAGAAGGCAGATAGTAAACAAGAAACATAACAAATGAATCACCCACTACATTAAAAGATAATATATTCTATTTTAAAAATAGAGCAGAGTAAGGGGATTTGGTACTTCTTGAGTGAGTGTAATGTAGATAGAGATATATTGAGAAGGTGGCATTTCAGTAGAGACTTTGAAGTTGACTGTGAGGCTACTGGGGGAAGAACATGCCAAACAGAGAGCCCCAGTGCTTAGACACACACATCCCCCCAAGACCAGGCAGCTGGTGTGTTCAAGGAAGAGCAGGAAGGCTGATGATCAGTCACTGGAAGAGCACTAGTGAAGAGAGCAATGACAATGAGATAAAAGGAATGGAGAGTGGAGGGTCTGGTGAGAACTTTGGATTTTGCACAGAAGCACAGCATGATCAGATTTATATTTGAAAGATCACTCTGGCTGCTGGAACAGCCTGTGGGAAGACAAGGATGGAAGGACAGTCACTAGTTAGGAAGGTATGGCAATATTTTAGGCCAGAAATGATGGCAGCTTGACTCAGAAAGGAACGATGGAGATGAGAGAAGTGGTCAGCATCTGATATATTTTGAAGACAAAGCTAATGGTTTCCCTGAACCATTAGATGTAGGGCTTGAAAGGAGAGGAATCAAGAATGGCCCCAAGATGAATTTTACTAAACATTCAAAAAACTAACACCTATTCTTCTCAAACTATTCCAAAAAATTCAAGAGGAGGGAAGACACCCAAGCTCATTTTACAAGGCCAGCATTATCCTAATTCCAAAACCAGATAAAGACACTAGAAAGAAAGAAAATTATAGGCCACTATTCCTGATGAACACAGATGCTAAAATACTCAACAAAATATTAGCAAATTGGATACAGTAATACATTAAAAAGGTCGTACACCATGAACACGTGGGATTTATTTCCTGGATGCAAGGCTGGTACAATATTCACAAATCAATAAACGTGATACATCACATAAACAAATTGCAAGACAAAAACCACATGATCTCATTAATAGATGCAGAAAAGGCATTTAATAAAATCCAGCACCCATTTATAATAAAAACTCTCAGCAAAGTGGGAATAGAGGGATTATACCTCAGCATAATAAAGGCCATATATGATAAACATCATACTCAGTGGGCAAAAACTAAAAGTGTTTTCCTTAAGAACAGGAACAAGACAGGGATGTCTGCCTTCACCACTCTATACAACATAGTACTAGAAGTTCTAGCCACAGCAATCAGACAAGAAGAATTAAGAGGCATCCAAATTGGAAAGGAGGAAATAGAACTGTTACTATTTACAGAAGACATGATATTGTATGTAGAAAACCCTAAAGACTTCACCAAAAAAAATCTACTAAAACTGATAAATAAATTTGGTAAAATAGCAGGATACATAATTAATATTTAGAAATCTGTGGCATTTTTATACACCAAACTATCAGTAAGAGACATTAAGAAGACAATCTCATTTACTATTGCAACAAAAAAAATAAAGTACATAGGAATAAATTTAACCAAGGAGGTAAAAGACCTGTACTCAGAAAAGTATATGACATTGAAGAAAGAAATTGAGGAAGATACAAATAAATAGAACACTATACCGTGTTCATGGATAGGAAGAAGTAACATCATTGGAGGTATCACACTACCTGATATAAAACTATACTACAAGGCCATAGTAATCAAAACAGCATAATACTGGCATAAAAACAGGCGTACAAATCAATGGAACAGAATAGAGAGGCCAGAAATAAACCCACACCTTTTTGGTCAATTAATATTTGACAAAGGAGGGAAGAACACACAATGGGGTAAAGATAGTCTCTTCAATAAATTGTGTTGGGAAAATTGGGCAGATGTACAAAAAATGAAACTAGACTACCAACTTATACTATATACAAGAATAAACTCAAAATGGATTAAAGACTTAAATATAAGTCTCAAAACCATAAAGATTCTAGAAGAAAACATAGTCAGTAAAAATCTTAGACATTTCTTATAGCAATATTTTCCCTAATATGTCTCCGAGGGCAAGTGAAACAAAAGAAAAAATAAACAAATGAGACTACATCAAACTAAAAAGCTTTGCACAACAAAAGAAACCATCAACAAAATGAAAAAGGAACCCACTGTATGGGAAAACATATTTACCAATGATACAGCTGATAAGGGGTTAGTATCCAAAATATATAAAGAACATATATGACTCAACACCAAGAAAACAAACAATCCAATTTAAAAATGGGCAAAGGGCCTGAGTAGACATTTCTCCAAGGGGTACATACAGATGGCCAACAGACATATGAAAAAATGCTCAACATCACTAATCATCAGAGAGATGCAAATTAAAACCACAATGAGATGTCATTTTACTCCTGTCAGAATGGCTGTCATCAATAAATCAACAAACAAGTGTTGGTGAGGGTGTGGAGAAAGGGAACCCTTGTGCACTGTTAGTGGGAATGCAGACTGGTGCAGCCACTATGGAAAACAGTATGGAGGTTCCTCAAAAAAATTAAAAATGGAGCTGCCTTTTGACCCAGTGATTCCACTTCTAGCAATATACTGTATTTAAAGAAACCGCAAACACTAATTTGAAAGACTTTATCCACCCCTACGTCCACTGAAGCATTATTTACAACAGCCAAGATCTAGAAACAACCCAGATGCCCATCAGTAGATGAGTGGATAAAAAAAGACATGGTACATTTACACAATGGAATACTATTCGGCCATAAAAAAGAAGGAAATCCTGCCTTTTGTGACAGCATGGATGGACCTGGAGGATGTTATTCTAAGTGAAATAAGCTAGAGAAAGACAAATACAATGTGATCTTACTTATATGTGGAACCTAATGAACAAAATAATAAACAAAATAGAA